CACACACACACACACACACACACAGAACCTGTCATGTGTGCTACCATGTCTCACGGCCACAAGCCTGTCACATTGGTGGTGGTTTTTAGATTGAACTGGGAATCACTGGGAAGGGACCACAGCAAACAGTTAACGACCTTTGACACAACGCTTCAAGCACAAGTTCTCAGGTGTGAATCGGAAGGACAGATTGGACCCCACTGGATTCATCCGTATGCTAAGGAATCAAATATGCTCGTCCTGGGTACTCCTTTCTGGTTGAACTGTGCAATACCCTTAGATCCTCCTTCCTGACCTACAATTTGACCTGCATCTTGTCCTTGCAGTCTGGTCAACAATGTGACCTTCATCTTTTCCTTGGTTACTGATACACTGGGCAAGACACAAAGCCGTCTCCATTATTATAGTTGATTGGGCTAACCACTAGACGCTTGAACTAGGTCCTCGAGGAAAGGACACTGACAATATTGTTGCGAGAAAAGGTTCTGCAGTCGGCAGTGGTGGAACATTTGCAGAGATCTTCATCAGTGACGTGGAAGAGACGAGTGCCGACCTGTAATTTGTCGAGACATCTGCGCATAGATTTCTTGATGGAACAAGTATTCCAGATAAGATTGCGGTGGGGGATTTTCGTAGAGTTACTTATAATAGGCGGAAGGTTGCACAAATCACTAAGGTGGAAAGCCAGCCATAGTGATGTGGAAGAAGCCAGCCATAGCCCGGAGGTAAAGGGGAAGGGTGAGGTAGCAATTCGACGTCAAGAGTTGGCCAGGGAAGAGAGACATAGCTTAGGTGGTGTGGAATAAGGCAGGGGTGAAATTGAAGTAGCAATGAAGCTCCAGATTGTTGGCACTGGCCCAGAGAATGCCTAGATTGATTGGTGGGGAGCTTACACTGCCGGAGGTAACATTGCAAAATGGCCTAGATTGAGTGGCACTGCCCTTGATCCCGTCTACATCGACAGTGCTGGCCTCTGACAAGGCTTACATTGCCAGGACATAACATATGTTTATCGCTTCGATCCTGAATGCTTCATATGAACTTTTCGTGAGATTTTTCATAGCTGACTAAGCTGGAAGCATCATGGATTCATTTATCAGAGCACTAGTTCAAAAGGAAAGAAAGAAAGAAAGAAAGAAAGAAAGAAAGAAAGAAAGAAAGAGACAGAACTCAAGTGGTGACTGGATGATCAGCCTTGGATGCACAAACAAACTTTGCATGAGAATATTGCAGTCTTTCATGTTCGTGACGTTTCTTTTCTTCTAACTTGGACCATTTCTCGATTTGTGAGTCATACTTGTGCAGGGACCATGCTGCTCTACTCTGTATCATTCGAGCTTTGACATATGCTCCCGAGGACCACGTTCATGATGTTCTTGAGCTCTGGTCTTCATCTTGGCTTGATTCCATTGGAAGTTGGATCTCACTAACTTTGTGGTTTGCCACGTACCTCTCTTTAAACCATCATATCCTCACAGCACAGGTAGGAACCTACACGCGACCGGCTACCAGATGCTGAAAGAAGATGGCCTCGAGAAAACTAGCAGCTGCAAGGGATGAGTGATTTACAGGGGGGCTCAATGTCGTTAGTGGTATTTTGGACGAATTGGCCAGCGTTGCTAGCAATTCATCGCCTTGCATACTGTCACCGCCAGAGGAGGTGAGCGCTTCGGTTGTGTTCCGGTAGAATTGGCTGTTCCAGTGGAGACCATCAGCGGCGCCAGTGATTCTTCGCCGCGGGTACTGTCGCCACCAGAGAAGGTGGGCGCTTTCAGGAAGCAATGCATTTTGTCTGTCCTTTTTTCGTGGTCCGCAATTAAGCCACCTCAGATATCCACAAGTCAGGCCATTTCTACCACCCTTGGTCACTGTCAAGGCACTAATGGTTAATAGGTGGTGTCATTTTGGGCGAAATTTTCACCGTTTCGTTTCTTTTTTTTAATGTGTATTACGAGCCTGCATTGTTTGTTCGCAAAATTTTCAACAACATTCCTTGTGGTGATGCAGTGAAAACCCCTGAATTTCCGGCCTTCCATTAACTATCTCTCTGCTGTGGTTGTACTAAAGCCCACCGGGTGCCTTTGAATGTGCCAGAACACGAAAAAAAATGCTGGTGGGGCAATGATGGTTTTAGCCGTACGGTTGAGTGACGACATCACCGTTCATTGTCGCTTGCTGACAATCCGAATAAACTTCGCATTGTGAAACCGACCACGATGCATTCAAATCGTTGTGCATGAGCTTGCACATGACACTCGTCCTCTTCCGAGTGTACTCGTTTATGTTTGTGTTTGTCTCAAGTGTAGATGGCCTGAATGTGAATGCTTTCAAGTCTGCTCGGCCGCTTTACGACATCGAAAGAGTGGTTTGGAACGCAAGTGTGTTAGACAGTCCTTGACTGTTTTAAAGACTGTTTTTCAGAACGTTCTTAGTGATTGAAGGCTGTGATAGAGCTCAATTGATGTCTATGAAATCCCTTATCAAAAAGCTTAATGCATACAATGCCCATGAAAAGACACTATGTTGCACTGAAACTTGTACTTTTTTGTATGTATCTGGGAGTGCTGTTGGCCGCATTCCGTGCTGAAAGTCCCAGTGTGAGTTTGCCTTCAGTTGTACAAACATATTTATATGCTTATCACTCTCTAGCCTGGTTTTCATACTGCCGAGTCACAGTACCTGATCCATGAATAAGTCTTGTGAAGTTTGAGGTCCAAACAAGATGTGCAACTCCCAAAGAGCGAGGACTTACCATTTCCATTCAGAGTCATCCTGCTGATTGAGGTACTTGATGAGTTGAGTGCACACCCCCCACTCCTCATCGCCAACAACACACCATTTCAGCAACTCTGCGCATGCCCACATGGAAAACAAAAAGCAACACGCATTAGCTTGATAACACATTCATAGCATACAAAATAATAGGTCAAAAGAAGAAGGGCCCGTGTGGATTCGCCTACATCAGAAAGAAGTTTACTGGTTGACAAAATGACACACAGGAGGGAGCAGTAGAGAGCTGCGTGATCATAAAATAGAAGAGGAAACAACAAAGTTGACTGTGATGTGTAAGGACAGTGTTGCATGGTTTGAGAAAGTTACTTGACATGCATTCCAGCATAATGAGCACGTCAAAGAGAATCATAAGGAACCGTGAATGCAACAGGGGAAGAAAATGTGGAAATCAAAACCGGCAGTAAGTGAGGGTAGGAACGCTGATTGCAACAGTGCAAGTGTGTGTGTGTGTGTGTGTGTGTGTGTGTGTGTGTGTGTGTGTGTGTGTGTGTGTGTGTGTGTGTGTGTGTGTGTG